TTTCTTTTTTCTGGAGAAAGGAAACGAGAGCAGCTGCTCATACCCACAAGTGGGCCTGGTGCTCACAGGAAGGTACTCAGAGCACCAATGTCACATGGCAAAGTGAGACAAATGAAGAAAACTTGTCATGTATTCTACGTACAGAGAGAAAACAAAGTCACTGTGCCACCCAAAACATACCAAATAGTCTACTTACTTGGTTAATACGACTTTACAGTAATAACTTTTTCCTGGCTATTGTCTGCCGTCCTATAGATAAAATTTGTTGATCTACTTAACCACAAAATTGTCTTTGCTTTCAGACAGCACCCAATATAGAGTGACACCCCCTTAACCCACGCTTAGACCCTCCCCCAACACCCAAAGCCCAAATTCTGTGATAGGCTTTTTTTTTAATACTGTCCTACAGAGACACCCCACGGTTGCTCATGGTGTGTGTCCTCTCACTGCAGTGAGCAGTGAACCTGCTTTGCTTTTGATTCAGTTTGTTCACAGGTGTGCTCCTTCTGGTCTTTGCTGCAGGTCATGAACAGGGGAATGATCTCATCTGACCCAGCTGACTCTGGGTCCTCAGGATGTGCACCTACACTTCAGCTCTTGCCTAAGCTCTGCCTCCTCCAGAAAGCCTTCTCTGACTCCCCCAACAAGCTCAGTTCTATTCTCCAGACCCCTTGCACTTCTTCCCTTCTGACAGCCACTGCACACCTGGGTGCATTTCCCCCAGCAGGCTGAAAGCTCCCGGTGGGCCCTAGTGAGGAGTGAGCTACGCCCGACAACATTCCCAGCACCTACTCTAGCACTTATTCAAAAGTATTTCATAAAAGCTTAATGAGTGGATACAAGAATCAATGCTTTCAAATCTACCTTACATATAATGTCAGACCAATGTAATGACATTATTTCAATGGCCTTATCTCTTTCAAGTATAATGTTTCCAGAAGAATATGTAAAAATAAAATAGCATTAAAACTTCAACCATAATTGTACAAAGAATCTTCCAAATTATTAAATCTAAGTCACCTATTTTATAGGCCAAATGTGAATATTCTTGTAGATTTTGAAATTCTACCATGTAAAACTTAATTCACAATTTACGAATTAAAAAGCAATTTTACGTAAAATATTCTTCCTATTACTACACAAATTCATTTAAAAAAATTCTAAAAGAAGATATTTCTTTAAAATAATTTAAATATGCAACTTGCAACAGCTACATTTATTGTAAACCTACTGTCCTAAAAACAAGAAGCAACTATCCCTTGTCTACTTTAATAGGTTGAAAAGTTTGTGGAACCAGTTGCTTATTAACAACCATATGTAAAACACTAGTGATAAGTCATTCTGCATGCATTCTTTCAAGTTTAAAAATTATTTTTAAACTATTGAAAATAACGGAAAGTGTTTCAAAACACTTTCTGTTTGAAAGGTGTGTAAAAGAGAGGATAAAAGAATATGACTGCATGCTTCCTGCCTAACAATTTAACTTCAATTACAAATATACTTACATAGCTGGATGGTTAGCTCAGCTGGTTCAAGCACAGCCTTACAACACCAAGGTCATGGGTTTAGATCCCTGTACTGGTCAGCTGCAAAAAAAAAGAAAAAAGGGCCGGCCCGGTGGCGCACTGGAGAGTGCGCCGCTTGGGAGCGTGGCGGAGCTCCCGCCGAGGGTTCGGATCCCATG